AGAGGAATTTGAAGACAGACAGAGATAGGAAATCTGTGAAAGGGACCATATTGTGAGAATAGCCATTTACATGCCACGAGGGCCTAGAGAAGCTACTTCCCGTTCAATCCTCAGAAGGAATCAGGGAAATCACACCTCATAGTTGAGGCTACCCGGAGAGCTCCTCAGTGTAACTACATTCCTTGGGTTTTTTCATGAATTCCAGGACAAGATTTTGACCCCTCCTTCTACCAAAGACTAGTGCTTTTTCTGAAGAGCTATTCTGAGCCTCCTATCAGCTAGTGATTCAGTAACAAGGCATATGTGTGTCAGAGTCGGTGTTATTCTTTGGGAGCATCTCATAGGATGCTGCATAATCCCAGCCATAGTGGCTGATGGCTTCTGTCAGATTTTTCATTCTTCCCTACAATTCCAAATTTAACCTTGATACCACTACTTCTCGTGTCAGAAGGAAGGTGAAAAAAACAAAGGAAAACATTGATTTGGCTCTACCTATGTACATTCCGTGGGCGCATATCTAATAATGCTGCTGCCTCTGGCTGGCCTACCTACAGGAACCTGGGTCTAGCGCTCCGAGCACAGCTATCTCATAAACTGAGTGGACGTATGTTCAATGCCAAATTCCAACAAACTTTCAAATTATTTCAGAACAAACTACATACACAGATTTTTATTTTTACTCAGGACAATTTTTTGTTTTACTAGGTTCTATAAACATACCTAAGATATAGGGTAGTCCTTTTTTATTTCTGTTTTTGGTTTTGAAAACCTCTTTTGTCTTTGTTTTAATTTGTTACTGTGTTGTAATGAGAAACATGTCAAAGCACCTTATCATGTCTTACATAATTTTATTCATACACTCCACTGCTCCAGTATCTTAAGAACATAATATACTTTTTTATTTTTTAAATCTCTTGAAGATTTGCTATGCCTTACCTGCTTAGTTATAGTAATGTTTTTATTTCCATTTAAGACACTTTTGTCAAGGAAGATGTACCCTCCACTAGTGTTGCATGAGTGTTTTGTTTTGTTTTGTTTTGTTTGTCTTTTTTCATTTTTATCGGTACCGGGGATCGAACTCACGACCGCCTGCTTGCAAGGCAGGTGCTTATGCCGCTGAGCTAAATCCCCAGCCCCTGCATGAGTGTTTTTCAGATGTGTCCTGTCGTTCTCAGTCCTGATGTCACTTCTCAGACAAGCTCTTATCATCTTAAAGGGACTCAGCTTTCCTACCTTTTGTTTTGTTATGCATCTGTTCTGGACTCTGTTTAGTCTTTCCTTGTAGATAGCGAGCAGCATCTCTCTGTTGATTCTTAAAGTAGTGTGACTCATTAGGCCTTGCTTAGCACATCATCTCGCTACACTGTTAAACTCTTGGATCTGTAAGAGGACAAGGGCTTTTTCTTCCCACTCTTTCTTCTACCTGGAAAACCTGTGTTCCTCCAGTAAATACCAACTCATCCTTCAGCATGTGGCCAGAACTCACCTTCTCAGTCGGTGCCTCCCTGATCGCCTCAGACAACACAGTATGCTCTCTCTCCAGTGCTTTCCTACACATTGTTAAGAGTTGAATTATGTGAAGAAATAATAGTGTGTAATAGTGTTTCGGTTACTGTGTATAAGCTTCAGTAAAAGGCTTTCATTTTCCTAATGTAAAAATAAAATTGACAAAAATATAAGGTAGTCAAATAGCTACTGAGATATTTAGTTATTCACTTAATTATGCATAAATGCTTAAAATTATATATAATAATGCTTTAATGTGGAAGCATTATTTCTCGTTCTCACAATTTCATTATTTCTCATGAACACATTTTGAGCATCAACACACCAGAGTACACCATCTTCACATCAGATGTTTTAGAGATAGTACTTTATGACTTGTGCATAATGCTGTCATTAGAACTTCCCCAAGCCACAAGAACCTAATTGAATAAGATATTGAGTCTTCTAATCCAATATATAGATATATAATCATGACCTTAAAGCTGCTATTCATAGCACTGTTTTTTAAACCGATCTTTAATGTGCTTTTTCCTAAGAATACCCATGCTTTGCATTTCACATACTCCTAGAAATAATGACCAAATCTATTAAACTTTGTTGCCTCTTTTTTTAGTAATCCTATCATATGAGCTTTTGAAGCAGTCAAACTCAGCTACTATTGTTTCTTTCCAAAACAATATGATGCTATTAAAAAAATTTTTTTTTAAATTTCCACTTCTGTAATGGTGGACTGAGTCACTCAGTTGTTTGTTTGTTTGTTTGTTTCAAGACAAAGCCTTGCCATGTAGTTCAAGCTGGCCTTGAACTCATGGCAGTCCTCCTGCCTCAGCTTCCTGAGTGCTGGGATTACAGGTGTGCAAGCACCATGCCTGAGATTCAAGAAGTTTGACTCTTTCATTCAAATGTTTGTCCAAAACAAAGCACATGGCCAAAGCTGAACCCTAAGGCACCAGGAACTTTATCTTCTCACAATGAAAAGCTTCCAGTACTTCAAACAATAAAAAATCCAGTGATCTGATCCACTAGCACTTCCAACAACTTAGGAAAGTAAATATTCTCTTTGGAAGCTAATCTCACTTTCGACCTCAGATAACTCTACAGTTGTCCAACAAAGAATGAGCATGTGAGAAGACAAGACACTATAATAGTAGCTAGAAGAAATAATAACATTGGCACACCTGCAGGAGCTGTAATTATTGGGCTTATCAGAAACAAACTATATAATAACTGTTTATAGTATTGAAGGATATGAAAGTCAAACTTTGACTTCAGCTGGACACAAAGAACATCTTTGGAAATGAACCACATTGGAATTCAAGAACTAAGATTTACACAACCTAAATTATGAATTCATTGAAAGGTTTTAGCATTAGACACACTTGAAGAGTTAATTGTCAAAGTAGAAGACAAATCAGAAGAAAATAATCAAAACCAATGTTGAAAAAATAGAAAACACAGAAGAGAAAAATAAAAGATAAAGACAATATAGTGAAGTACAGTAATTTAATTCCCAATAAATGATAAAAAATAGTCAGTAGCTGAAATTACTGGCACTTACGAAAACGACTCAGATTTAAGTGTCCCCAAATAATCCCAGACATAATTTATTCTTGAAACAGTGAAACTGTGGAAACCTAAAGATGAATAGAAACACTGAAGCAACTAAGAAAGAAATTTCCATTCAAAGTAGTGACAGACTGAAGGGAAATTTCTCACATAACAAGAACAGAGAAGCTATATGAGAATGCCGAACAGGAAATATATCATAATGTAAATTAAGGTGAAGTAAAAGATATTTTTAAGTCAACAAAATATATGCTAAAAAGAATTTGTACAGGGTGCTATTAAAATACAAGGAATGGAGATCAAAGAGTAATGAATATGGTTATATAAAACAGTATCTTATTCAAATTTATTTAAATATTTATCTACATATATTGTTATATTGTTACATTACAAAATTGCATATTAATCAATAGTTGAGTGGAATTGAAATACTCTAAATCCTTTATGTTGTATAGGAGAAAGATAAAACTATCAATTTACATTAGACTTCTATAAGCAAAAGTGGAATATAACCCATGAATTTTTAAAAATGATAAGCTCCTAGAAAACAGGACAGCATCTTTGTGACCATGAGGTAGAAAAATATTTTTAAATAGGACACAAATAGCATTGATAATAAAGTAAAGAACTAATGAATTAATTACATTAAAGTAGCAACTGTATTCATCTGTATAATAAAACAACTGGGCAAAGATGCAGTACAGAATTGGAAAAGATATTTGTAGCATGTGTAACTAGACTCATATCCATATTTACAAATCATTGAGAAAAAGACTCTTAATCCAGTAGAAAACTGAGCAGAGATTAGAGCAAAGCATTCCCACGGGAGATGGTCCAAATTGCTTCAAACCTGTGATAATGTATTCCATTTCATACATCAGAGAAAGGCATGGTGAGACGCTATTGCTTACCTAACACGGTGCTTTAAATTTAAAAGACTAACAATACCCACTATTGGTGAAATGTGGAGTAACAGAAATTCTTCTCCCTGCTCGAAGAAATAAAAACTATACCAGTCATTTTGGGGAAAAGTCAGGCATATCCCATGATCAGCAGTTTCATTCATGTGTGGTGTAACCTGACAAAGTTGTGCTCAAAAAACATGCTTAACTGCAGCCCAAAACTAAAAATAAGTCATATTGGTAATTAAAGGATTCAATTAGGTGTAGTCTGACGGTGGATATTCTGCAGTGAACTACTATGCAAAGAAAACATGGATGAATTTTACTGAGGAAAAGAATCAAGACAAAAATCATACATGCTGTAAGGTTGCATTTATGTAAAGTACAAAAAAAGACCAAAACTAGTATATGATGTTAGAAATCAAAATAATGGAAATAAGTTTGAGGAAGAAAAAAGGTGGTTGGGAGCACATGAAAGGGTACTCATAAGTTACTATTTTTGTCTGAGGTATATTCACTTTTTGAACATCTATCAACCTATATATTTATGATCTACGTATTTTTCTGTATGTAGTTTTGCTTCAGTTAAAAGTGTTATTTAAAGCACAGAAGTAATTGTGAGGGACTCTAATCATCGGTGAAATTTATAAGGACTCAAATGTAAAGTGATAGCCTCCTTAGGATTAAAGCTCCCCTCTTATCAGGAATATGCAATACTGGGATTTTTTTATTGGTACATCTTTAACATACATAATGATCACATTCATCAGAGGGAATTGGTACCTGTACACATTATATCTTTCTTTTCCTCATTCCCTTCCCTTCCCCTCAATCCTGTGATACTGTTGACCTCTCCCCTGATAAATTCTGAGTTCCTCCAAACAAAACAAAACAGTGATACATTCTGAGTTCCCTGGGTACTGGGCTCATGTTTTTCTTCTCCACCTGACATACCAGACTGCTGCTGAGTATGTGTGGGATTCATGAAATAGTGTACTAACATGAGAAATGCATTTCTTTTCTAAGGTTAAGAAAACGACAGAAGCCACCTTGCAAACAATACAAGATATGGTGACCATTGAGGACTATGATGTGTCCGAGTGCTTCCAGCACAGCCGCTCCACAGAGTCTGTGAAGTCCACCGTCTCCGAGACCTACCTGAGTAAGCCCAGCATCGCCAAGAGAAGAGCAAACCAGCAGGAGACTGAGCAGTTCTACTTCATGGTGCGAGATCGCTTCTCTGGCTACTTGTGACAGAGCCCAGATCTGGGCTTCCCTGGTGCTGCTTCTCAGATGACTCGTTTAAAACATAGACTCCTGACCCCCTCAGAGTTTCTGATTTAGACAATTTAGGAGTTAGCTTAGGAGTTAGGACTGCTCTAAAACAAGAGCTTGTTAAAATGTGGGTTCTGGCTGCCATAGGTCTGGGGAGGGAAGGGCCCTGTACTCTGCATCTCATATGGCCCACAAGTGATGGCTGATGCTGCTGGACTACAGATACTGCGTGGGTACCAAAATTCTAGGATATAGGAGATAAAAGTGGCTGGGCTTCAGATCTGTATGAGAAATTCCTTAACATTAAACTTGTTTTTATTAAAAATTGATCTTGCCTTTTGCAGAAACTCAGAGAATATTTGGAAGGCAGTAACCTCATCACAAAACTCCAAGCCAAACATGACTTGCTGCAAAGGACTCTCGGCGAAGGTCAGTTTTTTGGGATAGACGGCTAGATTGTATAGCATGTCATGAATGTGCTCCACTAAGAGTATGAATCATATGTTTGTGACTCAAGCAGAAACATGACATGTTTAGATTTGGTTTTTTTGTGTCTGTGATAATCAAGTTGTCTCCCTAGAACTATTTGTTTTTAAGCATACTAGTGAACTTCAGGAAGAATAGGAGATCTGGGGAGGGCTGAGGAACTAAGTCAGAGCTCACGTGGGCTCTTCAGAGCACAGCGCTCCTAACAGAGTCCGGAGGAGCTGTCCTGTTTCTGTGTTGGATCCCAGCTGCCTTTCCCTTCTCTTCCTGGACTTCTCCACCCTCCCGCACCACCCCTGTTTGTTTTCATGGGCCAGTATTTATTGTTCCCTCTGTCACTTTGTTTTGGACTCTGGATACCAGCTAAACCAGTTTGGATGATGTTTTTTTTCTTTTCATTAGACATTGTTGGTAGTTGAGAAATAGTCCCAAAATATAAGCAGAATGCTGCATCTAATAATAAAAACAATAGCTAGAGTTAATACTTGCATAAGATTTTCCCTGTGTCTAGCATTGTTCTGAGCTATATGTTTAAGTGGGCAATATTAATTCCCTCATTTTTATAAATGAGGAAGCTGAGAAGAAAATGGACGGTAGGAATTATATAAATGCTACTGTTTCTTTTTTTGTCTGCACAAAATTTAAAAGGGAAAAAATATAAGCAAAGTCCCTGTCCTTAAGAAAAGACTTAATGCCTCTGAGTCTGTAATTTTAATTATTCTTTATTCATGCTAGATCCTGCTGTAAGTTATAGAAAAATGAAAGAAAATGCAGAAGGGATGGGAAATGAGAAGAAATGAGTTGTGAGTTACATCAAAAAATTGCCACTCTATATTGTTGCCTTCTGTCACTCCCTTGCCCGTAAGACAATATCTATTTTATGTTGTCCTTCAAAGAATCATCCTCAGAGAATTTGGCCACATGAAGAAAAGTTACTGTCACCTAAGGCTCCATGTCTTACACAGTTCAGGTGGCAGATACCAAGAAAAAAGGCCAGTTTTATCTAAGAAGAAAACAACAGAGACTGAGGCAGGAGGACCACTGCAAGTTCAAGACTAGCCTGGGCTACAAAGTGAGCTTAAGGTCAGCCTGAACTGTACAGTAAGACCCTGTCTCAAAAAGAAAAAGAGAGAGACAGTGGAGGGCGGGTTCGTGAAAGAAACATCATAATTCATATGTCTTGCTGCTGGGAGACTCTGAACCACTGGTGGTACAACACGCGACTGTCCCACCAGGTAGCATGAGGCAGTCCCATCAGGTGATACAAACTACCCAATGGGACAGTCACACATGTGACACCAGTGGTACAAGTTAGTGGAAATGTGTCGAACTATGAAAAAATGTATGAAAAACTAAAATAACCAGAGGCACTGTATCTATGCATCTTCATTAACTTCTGAATCAAAAAGCAAATTTCAAGAGGAATCTCTTTGGCATAGTGGAAAATGTTAAGCAAGGACTATATTAAGTGATATTACTGAGTTCATGTTAATTTTTCTATGTATGATTATGGTACTGTGATTATAAAGAAGAATGCTAACTGAAAAGTCATAATGTCTATAGCTTATGTGATTCTAAAAGAAAGGTATATATATATATATATTGATAGATAGATAGATAGGTAGATAGATAGATAGATAGATATAGATATATATGTGGGAAATGAAGCCAATTTCATAAGTTTGTTTGTTTGTTTTATGGTACGAGGAAGCAAACTCAAGATCTGTGCTTGCCAGTCAGGTATCTTGTCACTGAGCTATATCCCTGACCAATTTTATAAGTATTAACAATTAAGAAATCTAAATAAAGAGTATAAGGATGTTCCCTGTATTATTCTTGTTGCTTTTCTATAGATTTGAATTTTTTAAAAAAGAACCCTTTTTATGTTTGTATATTTTTCCCTTTTTTTCTTTTGGCTTTTTTTTTTAAAGACAGCATCTCACTATGCAGTTCAGACCATCCTTGAAGCCCCTACAGAGCCCAGGCTGGCCTCAAATTCTCAGCAGTCCTCCTGCCTCAGTCTCCCAAGTGCTGGGATTACAGGCATGTATGCCCAACTGAATATTTTTCTTGAGGAATTGGTTTTGTTTTTTGTTTTTGTTTTTTCTCTTTCACTCATAGTTTCTTTTTTTCCTTTTTTCAAAAGTGCCTTATATTTCAAGCGATATCTCTTCAGTCAGTTGCTGGCCTGGAAATATAAATTATCCTCAGTGTAGAAGAATGCTTTAGAGGCACAGAATCCTTCCCTTCAAGAATGGCTACCAGTGTAGAAACTGAGATTGCCAGCATTAAGGGGCGTGCATTCACTCTTGGTGATATGTGCAGATGTGTGTTTATGTGGCTTGGAGCCATGTTCCAAAACGTTTATGGTACTCAAGCATTATAAATTTTCTTGTGTCTCCTAAAAAAAAAGACTCAACAGTTAATGTTATTTTACATGTCATTTTTGGATAGGGCAATATTTTGACCAATTTGCTGAATCTATGTGCCAGATTCTATCTTTTGCTGCTGCCCTGTATAAAACTGTGTTATACTTTGTAAACTCTGAGCCAGGATTCCTTTATCTTGAAGTTTCTTTCAGTGAGTTCCAGTGTGTGAGTGACGCGGCTATGTTCAGGAGCTCAGACCTGCACTGGACTCCATTTACTCTGCAGCAGGAAGTGGATGACTTTCACCTAGTGGCAGCAGCCTTAGCTGGCCCCTGACCACTGGTTGCAGACCCTTCTGTTCCTTGGCTGTGGCCCTCTTGCAGGCTTACAGTACACCAATTGCTGACACTCAGAGAAAAGTTGAGCATGGGAGACATGCCCTACCTTTTAGCTTGATCACTGTGATCCTGCTGGCTTTCCACACAAGCCCTATTCATGTTAATAGGCTTACACCAAAGGAGCCTAGGAGGGCTAAGGACTCCTGGCCCATGGTGAGGTAATCCAATGGTGAGCCCTTAGGAAAGAATCCAAGTCCCTATTTGGTTAAATAAGGTTAGTAGTACATGATTTAATGCTGTGTTTGGGGATAGTCTTGGGTTTTAGATAGAAATCACCTCACTAAATAATACTAGACTCACCGCTGCAAAAACTGCCTTCACATTAAAACAAATAGAGCCTAACCCAGGGATTTAGCAGTTGATCATACACAGCTGAAACTGTAACTACAGACATGTGTTTGGCCTGCCTCGCTGCTCACTTTTGGCAGGCTACCAATGGCCCAGTAAGTTCTTTGATTTATAGCATTGTGAAGCAACTGCACCAGGCTCTTAAAGAAGCACTGTCAAAATTCAGAATCTTAAAGCTTTTGAAATAGAAACAAGAGAGTGAACTGTTTAACTATACTCATCACTGTCACCTTATCCCATCACAACACCCTTGTATCTTCGTGTGGTGCCACTCATTTTTAAATCAAGGTTAAACTGACCCAGTAAATAAGATATATGTCCATAACCCTGGGGCATGGAAAGTTATTTTTCATTTTCAGTAATGAGTCTAATGTTCACTTTGGCTTCTTTATAGGCACCTTTGGAGTTAAGAGGGTGTAAATATCTGTGTAATTTTGCTAAACACAGAAAATCTGACACTGGGAGCTGAGCTCCATATTACGCTGTTTCTTTCTGACAAAGGAATTAAATAGGTTGTCTTTACACAACCCTTTGTTTGTCTTTGAGTAGGAGTACAAACATACTTTCAAAGGAGAAGCTGATTGTGAATAATTAGTTCTTTTTAGAAAAGCACTGCAGTAGTTGGGATTCTTCAGGAAGAAAAAGGGCTGGAGAGTAATGCCAAAAGTCCTCACAGGTCACTCATGAGGGAACAAATCCAGGGTGTCTCTGTCTAGTTGGAGCTATTTATATTTTAAATATTTCCTTTAGCATTTTTTTTCTCAAGTTGCCCCCAAAATTACTTTGATTTTGCCTTTTATATAGAGAAATAAAATGCATTTAGATACAAAAATTAATTCACTGGGTCACTTTTTTCCTCCAAATGGCTTTCATCTGTGTGTATGTGAGGGGATTCTGTTGTTTTTAATATTTAAGTAGGCTCCCAAAGAAAGTGACTGAGATCTAATCCTCATGATATAGGGGAATGAAACTCTAGACCTACTGTGTCCATAAGTTCGTGTTCTCTAAAACCGAAGAATGAATTTTAGGAACAACGGAGGTTAAGAGTAGAATATATTTATTTAGAGAAAGAAAGCTTCTGTCTGTGACAGGGGCAGAAGGGGTCCCAGCGGGTTGCCAAGGACTCTGTCTTTTCCAGGGACTATAAAGAGTAAAATCACGGGATGAGACGGGTTTAAGGTGGGGAAACTGGGAGTTCACAAGGTAGATGTAAGGTGGGACATAACTGTAGTTAGCCAATAAGATTAATAGTTCAGGTAAAACTGATTGAATTGGGGACAAAGCACGTAGAAAGCGGGCATTCTTAGGGAGCAGCAACTCTTCCCTAGGCGGTTGGAATGGTGGCTTCTGACTCCCTCACAGGATAGGGAACTATTTAGAGTATCAGTCCTTAGGATATGGATACATCTGTTTGATCTTTTGTCTTGAGGCCTGGCCCATGGAAGGAGGTGTTTGTCTCCCCCAGAGTTGCGAGTTGTGTGGACTTCTGCTCTGGCTCCATCGAGGACCCAGCCCTGTCTCACTGCCTATAGTAGTTCTAACTAACTCAGCTGCCTGCAACACTCAGACCACTAGAAGCTTTCACATTTCTCTAGGAAGGAGAGTCATTAAGCTTGTGTTGTAGATCTATTAATGATCATACTGATTAAAAAATAAAGCCTCATTTGTCAATTGAGACACACTCAGCACTGTTAACTGAAAAAGCACTGGATGGGGTAGGCTGGTTGTGCTGTGAATGATAGTACTTGCAAAGGTTGCTTTTGGTTCATTATTCGAAATGTACCTTTTATAGGTTTTTAATTTTTATCTTACTATTAACCATAGATGAATGGAATAAAATTATTGGAAGCAATTCTATTCGATCATTTTCTAAATCTAGGGATTAATTAGTTGGGATATTTTAACAAAAACAGTACAATTTCCAGTTTTTAAAATGTTTTATTCCTAAGAAATTATCATTAACATCACTAGCATTGAACCACTTGAAAACAATTAACCTGTTAGTCATATGTACAGATATTTGATACTTTACATACTCATGTAATTTATTAAACTTATTAAAGGCTTCAATATTTTGTGTTTGGCTTTAGCCATGTGAGGTATGCAGAAGTTTAAGACATATATCTTCTAGGATAATTCAAACTATTTTCCAGGAAAAAAAGTCTTTCTATTTTTAAAGACAATACAATGTAAGACTTGGGAGCACAGGTCTGAAACTATAACAAAGCTGGACCATAGTCCCAGATCACCCCAAGGTAGCCTCATGGCCTTGGGCAAGTCATTTTTATATATATGCTCACTTTGTTCTGCAAAATAACTACAATAATAGAAAGTACTTCATTAGGTGATTGTGAAAATTATGAGCTAAAATATTTAACATAGTGTTTAGAATACTTTAGAACACATTACCTAATTAAGGCTTAGAATGTGGTCTAATAAGTATTAAACGTTGTGGCTATTTTTATTGTTGTTACTGATGTGTTTTATATCATATTTTTATCTCATACTAGAGTATGCAGCTTGACCATACAATGCAGCACCAGTTTCTGTATATCACCTGTGGTCATTTTACTGGATCTTCCTAGGCCAGCTCCTATAGCCCTTATGCAGCCTAAATAATAGAGATGCTCAGATCTTTATCTCAAGTGCAGTCTTTTCTCTGGGCCTTAACTGGTCTAGCCAGGTCCTTGATAGACACGTCATTAGAATATCCCCAAGGCAACCACGCCCTGCCAAATTCACTCTCTGTCCCTCTACTTTCCATGCATGAAGAGCAGCATATTTTTCTGGGGTTCTGTGTATACCTCTTCTAAGTAGCAAAAGGCTCCCAAAAGGAAGGGACCTGCAGGTAAATGATAAGTGGATCTGGGTAGGATAGGGAGAATCAGGTTCTTTTTCCCCACATCCCTACTCCATGTCTAGTTAAGAACTGATACTGCCAACATGTACAGTGGTCAGACTATGTTGAGGAAGGTATTCTCAGATGTTATCTGTTGTCCATGGTTTAATAAGTAAATGCTAATCGAATATCTTATGTTACTTATTCTTCAAAAGTGAGTAATAAAGTGAAAGCCTCTGTGGCAGCCTAGGAGTATTCATCCAGCGTTCCCACACGCCAGCCTTCCCTTGGTTGTTACACTGGTCTCGCCCTATAAGTCTTAATCTGTCTGTTCTGATCCAGGGGACTGGCCTCGCCTCTCTGTGCTGGCATGTGACCTTCTGCTCTCCTATTTTCAAGCTCTTTCAGGACCTTGCCATCATTTTGCAAACAAATCAGTTGAATGGCTTAAGTCGCCCACACCTCTTCTCCCTGCTCCACCCTGAATGTAAGAAAGAGCAGACAGCAGCCAGCGACACATGCAAACTTAAAATTAGTGCAGATTGTGAGAGTGCTATAAAAATTCAGCCGTGTTATTTAAAGAAACTCAAGAAGCCCAAATGTATAAAAGCAGCTCATGTTTAAATGACAGAATTCCATGAAAGGCTTTTAGCTTACAAGTTCTTGGAATATAGTATCATTTAATGTCCCCGTATGTTATTATCTGAAAATGTCATTTCTGATTATAGAATGCAACTTCTCTCCCAGACCCTGATTAGAATTCCAAATTAGTCCAAGGGAAAATGAATTCTCTCAACCCCACTTGACCACCTACTCCTCTTAGACAAGTATCAGTCAAAACGGAATAAATAACATTCAAATCTGAAATGTTTTATTTGTATTTTTTGTTTAAATTGAATTATGACCAAGAAACTTTGATTTTTTTAAAACTACCTCCTCAAATTGTCATGTGAAATATAATTCTCTAATCTAGAGAATTCATTAAATGTTATGGATAAATTTTATGAAATCTTGACTGAATTTCTTATCTTCATATGCTATTCTTGTGTTTTCCTCCATAAAATGTGTCAGCTATTATAAACTCAGCATCCTAAAGTAATGAATGGATGATACAAAAGCTTATCAAATATATTCCACTAATTCAGTTCAACTGATTTTCATTTTTTGTTTTTGCAGGTCACAAAGCTGAATATATGACTACAAGGTAGGAAGATACTTTGTCATAATTCATTGTGTATTTCAGTTTCTTTTTTCTTTATCAAGAAGCAACCATTTAAATGGTATAGAAATGAATATATTGGTTAACGTGCATGGAAGACAGTTTGGGCTTGACAGCACATAGCGCCATGAAATGCTTGTGGCCCTTACCACATCGGATACACTATGGTATACCAAAGGATTTCCTATGGGATTGTAGCAAAGACCTAAGTTAAACACAGGCTTGGTTTATCTAATCCAAAGCACATTAAATCTTTAGAAATAGCCTGATTGAGACTTTTGCTTTGATAACTTGGTTAACAAATAACATGATAGATATATCTACTGCGTTTGTATATACAAAGTATTAGTTACATTGTGTTGTAGTTTGTCTTATTTCATATTACTCATAAAAATTACAGCTATATTAAATATTCAGAGGATTTTTAGCTATCTACCACTTCTTATTTCTCTTTTAACTTTTAGTACCAACAATAATATTGCACATTTTTTAATCACTCAGAGAAGCCTTTGTAAGCCATTTTGGAAAAAGATTCTGATTTGAGCAGGGGAGAGTTTGTGGTGGGTGTTACTTTTCTATGACACCATTAATGCAGCATATAGAAATTTTTCTAGTTGACTTAGCAAACCTTCGAACTCGTGAAGTCGAGTTGTGCTTGAGGTCAGAGGCACTGACTGACAACATCTGGCAAGTTATTTTTAAGATTCTGGAGTGTTACTGTGGGGCAATTTATTCATACGGAAGCCCCTCTTTCTTCTTGGTGAACCATTGGGAAGCCAGACCCACTGACTTTTCTAAACTTATTAAAAGAAAAAACAACTGAGGTTTCCCTTCACTTTGTCAGTAACAAAGGATATTACCTCATTGTAGTAAGTAATATAAAGCTAATGGTGCTTTTTCATATGTAGCATCTCTTTGCGTTATCAAGTATTTTTTCTGTTGTTTCTAGAGTATATTTAATGTAAGACACTTTAAGATATTTTTAAAGTATTCAAATACATGAATTTGCAATGATAACTATAATTTTCAAATGCCCTAAATATTCACATAACCCTGGTAGTGCTTCCTCTCATGAGCATCCCGTACAAGAATCCAGCTATCAGGAAGGTGTGTGCAGGGCACAGAGCCAAAAGGAGTCCTATAGTTAGAATGTCACATGGTCAGGTTCTGCTCACCTGCTCCAAGCACTGTGGAGTCAGAAACACTGGCCCACCAGTGCGCCTAACCCCCGCTCTGTGGCGGAAATGACTTCAGTAATCACTCAGGTGGTTCATTGTACTCCCAACCCCCTCTCACAACTTTAGTTTCTTTATATCTACCACATATTTTGGATCCTTTGAGACAGGCAGTTTTCAAGCCTTTAGTAGAAGTAGCAAAAAAATCCATCTCTCCGAGAGTCCCAGCCAAGTATTATTCTGTACCCACCAGCGAAGTAGGACCAAATATCCAGTGCCACTGGAAGCTTTGGCTCCAGCTACAAGATTTGCTTGTTGCATGAATCAGTGACCAAATTCTGATCCCCTTCACTTTTCCTGCTCCAGGTATCACTACATGTAGAACTCTGTTGGACCCTGAATTACCCATATTTTCTAGTCTCATGATTTGATGTTTGTATCTCTTGGGCTTTATGAACCTTGGAAGGACCACCTCTCTTGGGTGAAGCAAATCCTAGAGATAGTAATGACCAGTTTACAAATACACCTTTTACAGGTTTACCAGTTAATCCAGAGCCCACAATCCCAACCACTTCTTTATCAGATTCCCACCTTCAGAGCCACTGTTCCCCTTGACTTTACACCTCACAGGCAGGCACCAGCAGCTAGGAATAGCCGCAGGAAGCCAGAGCCTCCTGAAACCTTTCCGTCTAACCAATGCCGGGTCTGCTTACCCAGTTTCTACCATTCCTTCCAGTGAGAACCACAGTAAAGACTCTGACTTACGTGCTCGCCTCACTCTCTCTCTCCACCTCCTGACCAAGGAACCTGACCTTAGTGGTTCCCCATGTGCTCCTGCCCACTCTCCAGCAGAGCCGCAGAGCTGTTCCTTCCTTATGGAGGAAGTAAACAAACTTTTCAGTAGCCGTCATCTCTTGATCTGCTGGCTTCACCACACCAGAATAAAAATCTGCATTATAAAAATATTTATAAAATCATGAAATCAACAACATATTGTTAAACATCTCCTGCATCCCTTCCTTCCTCCATGAATGGTACTGAATTTAGTGTGTAAAAGATTTCAGAGATTTCTGTTGCAGCAGGTCATGAAATCCTACCTGGTTTACATAGAGGTTTCCGTATTCACTTCTAGATATTTACAAAGACTCCTTTTAAACCCTCAGGTACCATGGGGTTTGAAGTACTATGGGCTGTGTCTTTCTTTAATCATATGACACCACCCACTGGGAGATTCTTAGAATCTATGACAGGTTGTTATCAGTAGATTCGTTCCCCTGTATCTCTTGATTATTGGGCCTTTTGGGGCTTCCCCATAAATTCTTAGGATTTTTATTTCTAAACTACACTTTATGAATTTGAACAAAATGAACTGCAAAGTTACTTCTTTCTAGGAGTCTATAGTTTAAAAGAGCTTTTTGTAATTTCTAGGTGTGGTTAAGGAGTTTAAATCACAACATCTGGAGAGAGGACTCGGGACTCTCCTTCTGTATACTTACCACAGATATAGCAGTTGAGGCAGATACCCACTCTCCAACTACAGGGGAAGATGATGCAGAGTTACCAAATATAGTACATGATGCACTGGCTGTACATATATGAGAAAGACTGGCATATCTACCAACCAGACAGACAGGCAGGCAGGCAGGGAAGGGATGGACAGAGTCCAAATACCATAAATAAGTACATCCTAACACTCTACAAATACTTAGTTTGTTCTACAAAATAATAATTTACACGAGCTGGTGCCCCTAGTCAGAAACAGCACTAAAACCAAACACTATTTTTCTACTTGTGACCCATTAATAGTTACTTTTGCATAACATGAAGTCCAACTAACGTGTTGATGATACTTGCATTGAAGAATTATGTTATACCTGAAAATATTATATTTATTTAGTTTCTCATTTTGGAATCTATTCAGAGGCCTAATTTTATGATCCATGTGACTCATAAGCTGAATCACAAGAACCCTACTTTGTAACACTGGCCAAATAGCTCACAATTCCATTTGGTAATGCTTATCATTTTTAAGCATACTAGCAAACAAATGCCAGCTGTAGCATGTAAGAAAACAGCAATCTAAATGAATGCTTTGTAAGCTTTTTTTATACGTAAGTAAAAATAAATGGGAAGGGGTGGGACCCTTTTCCCCCATGGGCAGGGGTGGGGAAGGAACCCAAAATCCCTTGTTTTGTAATCTGGATGTGACCTATGAGTATTTTATTTATTGTTTGATTTATGCCATGCTCAGTAATTATATTCCCTTCCCTTAGGCCTCCAAATGTTCCCCCTAAGCCCCAGAAACACAGGAAGTCCCGACCCCGCTCACAGTATAATGCTAAGTTGTTTAATGGGGATTTGGAAACATTCGTCAAGGTACTGGCACCAGCCATCTGGGTGGCTGATCTCCACGCTTCTCCCTATAATGGCCTCAGCCTCTCATTGAATGAGGCAGGTCATTATGTCCGAGTCTGTCCTGGGGCTCTTTCCTTTCCCAGAAAATCAATATAATATTTCCTGAAGTCAGAGAGGAAAGAATATTTGGGTCGAGTGTCTTTAGAAAAGGCAATAAATGTGGATGCTATTATGTGAGCAAAAAAGAAACCCTTCTTTATTTTTTTAAAGCCATAATTTTTACAAGGAAAAAAGGAGAAAATATTTTATGTCTGCTTGTACAAATGAGCTAACCCAAACTATGTTTTAAACATCCATTTGTTAGTCACTCTCTGAAGCACAGCAAGAGTCTTGATTTCCTGTGACTTCAGGAATTCATTATATTGGATAAATTGGAAGACCCTGTGGTCTGTACCCCGTGTCTCTGCTGTGTTTATTCTCTGTCTTCTTTTTCATCCTGTCTTTCTGGTAATGCTTCTAGCCGAGGACGAAGAAACTCGCACACGAGACATCAGGTATAGTGCTAGTGGGAGGTGAGGGTGCGGCCTCTTTCACTGCTGTGTCCTTTCTAAGTCACACTCATGCTTGCTTTAATTAGATTTTTGAAGTCTTTAAAAGAAAAATGTTTGCAGTTGAAAATTAGACAGGCTTATAAGTACGCCTTAGGAACTATAGAAATCAAACACTAATTTAAGAGGAAAAAGCAAATAAACTCTCCATTTTTACATTATGCATTTGGTAAATGTCTGAAATTTGAGGGAAGGAATTTTACAAAAGAAAGTCAATGTTAAATAGCAAATACACATTTAACATGAGATTATGGATTGCAATGCAAATTACATTTTTAAAAGAGGACTTTCTTTCTGCTTCATAGCTCACATTTTATGACATGGGCCACAGTGTTCTTGAAGACTAAATTTATATGGGAAACCACATTTTTTAATAACTTCTTTAAGTTGGCATATTTTTAAAATATGTGTCTGTTCATTGAATATGTGCACTATTTTTAAGTAAGCACATGTAAGTAAGTATGTGAATGTATAATATATATGGATAAATACATACATATACATAGCTCTGGCAGCTGTAAAAATGATTTCTAACTTTGGAATTAAGCAAAAACCACTGGATACCTAAATGGTAATCACAAATCCATTGCTTTGAGCCTTAAACCCAGAAGAGCCTTATTAGCTCTAATTTAATATAAAATTATTGTTGCATTTGATTATCTAGTTCCCCAACCCCTGGCTTCTAAGCAGGGGCAAATTAGATGGAGAGAAAGAAAGAAACAATAAAAATGAAACAGCAAGATGTGCTGGCGATGGCCTCGTAGAGAAAGAACATAGGAAGCTCCAAGAAGCAGACATGTAACTGTTATTTTACTGAATGGCTGTTTTAAGATAATAGCAAAGTATGCCTGCTACATTTTAAAAATATTTTTCATTAAGTACATCTAAAGGAGACCAAATGGAAGTACTGAAGAAGGAATAAAGTAGTTATCATGGAAAATACGCTTACACGAGTGCTTCATCTCCCCACATGACACACACGGAAGAATCTTTGGTAGTGACAGTGACACACACAGGGCACAAAGGTATTGCTATGCTTCTGAAAAAGGCTCGTCCAGATGAGATCTCCTCGTCTCACTGGGAGAGAACTAGTGTCTGTAGGGAAACAGACACACCGAGGTTTGTTTGCATGGCCTGGAGCGCAACCTATTGTTCTATTTCTTGTAAAATACTTTCTACCCAGGCATCTGGCATCTATAAAATTAAACTAAAACACACACACACACACTACTTATGGCTACGAAATTCATTATGTCTGAATGAAATGCCAGTCATAGGTAAAAGATTAGCAATCACCTGAATGTTTTTTTTTTTTTGTTTTATTTTTTGTTTTTTGTTTTTGTGGGGTTTTTTTGGTACCTGGGATCAAACTCACGACCTCATACTTGCCCAGGAAGGTGCTTGTGCCACTGAACCAGATCCCCCAGCCCTCACCTCAGTAATTTTAAAAATATTTTTAAATAGTATGAAAACATAATTCTTTTACTTACAATTTTCTTAATGCAAACATTTTTCTTTTAATAATTTTTCCTTTGTTTTTCTTTATGTTTGACTATTAAATTCAGCAAAGGTACAAACTAATACTCTCTTTTCATCCCTTACATTTAAATATGTGTTGCTCTTTTATGTCACAGTGTTACATGAACTGTTTGAATAAAGGTTACTTCCACTAAAATATGCTTGTAATCTTAAAGAAAAATTCCTTTGCACATCAGTAAATTTTAAAATAACATAATGTAATTTTGCTGTGTTGAGCAAACTAGTCCATACTGAGGTGCATTTTTATTCTTAAGGCTCTTCTTTAAGGAATTAATAAAATGTATTCTCCTAAAGCAAATTAATTAGAGAAACTTAATTAATACCTGAGCCATTATGTACTGATGAGATTGTCTTAAAACCTTGAAAATAAAAAAATTCCTTAAGAAATGTATTACCCATTCTAGAAACAATAAGTATTTATATTGCTGAACTGCATTATTCCCAATCTTTACTGCTTAATTGGAAAAGTTAGTGAGTGGTTACTGAGTTGTTCTAACATATAAAGGCAATCAACATGGTGTGTTTCAAACTGCAGTTCCTCATGACTGTATACTTGATTTCAGCTAATCACTTTTGAATCTTTTGCTTTCTTTACAGATTTAATTCCTGAAAGATCAGAGTCTTAAAAATATAAGAAAAATAAATCCAAACTCAGTAACTTTCTTTATAACTCCCTGGAGTGCATGGCATTGACACATATTTAACAATGGCCTCAGCATCTCCTTCATCTCATTTGTCATCCGATACATGTTTAAAAGCACTTCTAGAATTTACATTTATTTAGTAGAGGGCACTGATTATTTTGAGACATGGGAAAAGGAGACCCTCCAAAAAAACCTTACTTCCTAAGAAAATTACATCTAATGGGGCACACATTTGTGCAATTTTTCTTAATCCTAAAAATATGAAAAATCTGTAAGAACAAGTAAGTTGTGATGCAAACCAAGTGAATACATGACACATTTTAATTATCTGTAAAGCAGTTCCCATATCAGGTCCAGTCATCATGTAGGTCATGTACTCTCAAGGACATGGTGGAGAGGATGCAGAGACGGTTGACAGGCTGTCTTGTGGGAGGACCGCAACTCATCAGTCCTCCAGCATTCTTTATCCATGCATTGAAGATTGATCACTTACGTCAGAACCTTGCCAAAGATGAGTTACTCATTTTGATATGTAAACCTAAATATAAAGAAAAGAGATGAGTTAGCTATTGACATCTCTAAGCACAGCAGGCAAGTTGAAACAGAATATTAAATGTGTTTAATTTGGTTTGCTGCAGAACCAAAATATACCTTTGTTTAAATATAAAATTCTTTAGCTTTCTTTAAAGATTTAATTCCTGAAAGATCAGTCTTAAAAATATAAGAAAAATAAATCCAAACTCAGTAACTTTCTTTAACTCCCTGGAGTGCATGGCATTGACACATATTTAACAATGGCCTCAGCATCTCCTTCATCTCATTTGTCATCCGATACATGTTTAAAAGCACTTCTAGAATTTACATTTATTTAGTAGAGGGCACTGGTTATTTTGAGACATGGGAAAGGCAGCTTTTTGGAAGGTGTCTTTTTGGGGAGGAATATCTTACAAAAGATTTTAGAAGGGATGGATTTGGAAATGATCCTCTAAAGGGTTTAAAAGAAGTATTGAACTGTGAGATTTATTGTGATTTAATTTAGACACTTTCCTTAGAAGTCAACTGATTTCCATCTCTTTATTCAGGACTCAGGTCAGGTTATCCCCCTCATAGTGGAAAGCTGTATTCGATTCATCAATCTCTATGGTAAGCCATACAGTACAGAATTCTCACTCTCTCTCTCTCTCTCTCTCTCTCTCTCTCTCTCTCTCTCTCTCCTTACCTCTCTGTTTCTTCCTTCCTTCCTTCCTTTCTTTCTAAATATCAGAATATATTTATTGAGAGAGAAAGAAAGATTCTGTCCAAGAGAGAGATAGAAGGGGTCCTGAGTGTGGTACTGGGGACCCTGCCTTTTCTAGGAGTTTTTATAGAGAAAAACCATAAGGTAAGGTGGGTCTAAAGTGGGGGGAGGGGGATGGGAAATCTCAAAGTGGGCATGGATAGGACAGAACTGTGGTCGTCCATAAGATTCTGAGTATAATTGCTCAGGTAAAATTGATTAAATTGGAATTAAATGGGGAAGCGTGTCACATAGCTAGCGGGCATGAACACAGAATCTGTTACACTACAGATTTCTTACTTAAAAAATAGTGGTGCAGAATGTTTCAGTAAACATGCCTTTTCATCTCACTTCTAGAAAAAAAGAAGACCCAAGAATGTGATGGGGTTTCTCATCCTCTTTCTTTTGTTGCCTTTAGGTCTTCAGCATCAAGGGATTTTCCGAGTGTCTGGTTCCCAAGTGGAAGTAAATGATATTAAAAATTCGTTTGAGAGAGGTAAGTGTTGTCTGTATCTGTAAGCAAGACATCTTTAAAAGTCAGTATTCCATGTTGTGCAGAGGCATACTTACCCTGTATCCCCTGAAAGCCTAGTGTAACCATCGATTAGAATAGCTGAAGAATAAGACCCAAATCGTAAGTCTTTGTTATTAAGGTAGAAAAGCATGTGAGTTTTGTATCCTGGCATTGATCACCCATGACACATGTGTCAAGATGGCCCTGAAAGGCCTCCAAAAGACACTAGGGTGGCCTGGCCTAGTCAGCAGGTGTGTGGGGCAGCTCCTCCTGACTCTGCTTCTATTGTCAGGAGCTCTTTTTCTTCCTCTTCTTCCATTCCCAGACTCCTTCCATGTGATACAGCTCGTGCTTTGTTCATGTTCACTATTGGTTGTCCATAAATCTTACTCAGTCTTCAATTAATATATGTTGACTAGCAAAACCCTATGTTTTAGTGTTATTAATACCTAAAATCAAATCAGAATCTCATTTACTAATAACAGGATTTGAGTCAAGTAACTCAGTTATTACTTGAGTCTCAGTTTCCTCACGCATGATTGTCGAGTATGAGCAGTAAGCATAACCTGTGGAAATGCCTAACTCTTTCATGATAGCCATTAGTTAAAAATTCTCCCCAAATACGGTAATTCATATGGCACCCTCTTCTGGGACAGCTATGCCTTTGTTCATGTATTTGGAGGTCAAGGCAAAGATGCAGGGTGGTCACCCCATGAAGAAGAGCTACTTTTCTCTTCTATTTCCCCTGGTATTAGGGTGCTGTAGAACCCTCTAAAGTTTGAAATCTTGGTTGAAGAGCTAAACTGGAGCGATGTTATTTTTTTGCTGTTCCAGGTTCCCTGACCAATAGGTATTTAGAGCAGAGCTAGATATGGTTTCTCACAGTAAACAAAAAACAACAATAGTAGTAACGCTGATGAGTTCATATTAAGTATGAACTTTCCTGCCCTAGAAATGGAGGGCTCTTCTAGAAATAAAGTACACTTAGAGGCAAGCAGTATATTAAAATACTGTGGCACACTCTGAGAACTTTAGTAGATTTGTGAATTTAAAAATGGAGTTTGATTTAAAGCTACACATTGTGTTGGCCTTTTAAAGGATTTTATCTCAAGTTAATTCTCAGAAAGATGAAATAACCAATGTAGTTACCTATTTTAAAACTGTTTACCACAAAAACATAATTTCATATTTGTGATACATTTTTAATAGCTATTTTTCATAAAAATGCCTTGATACCATTCAAGGTATATTTTTGAATTTCTTTGCCTGATTTCATAATTTCCCACTGTTCAAGCTGGCTTTCAGATGTACTGTGAATACCACCATGCTACTTTAGGAAATACCTGTTATTTAATTATAGGCATTCATAGTTAATGTTTGATTTTTTAATAAATTTGTTGACCCATGTAACATAGCTAGATAGGCCTTTATTGTGTGTTTTTCCTAGTAGGATAAGACACAGAATGTAATTTTTGAAGTCATGTCAAACTGTTACCAATTTTAGCTTCAAAAAATGTTTGGTAAAATTATAAATGCCACAGTATTTTATTTTAAGATTTGGGTAACTTGTGAGGGAGTATTTAGTAGTATAATATTTTTTTAAAGCTTTATTTTAGCTAACTATTTTTAGGTTAATCATGGGGTGGAATATCTAAACCAATTATTTTAATTTTAGTACCATATAATCTTTCATAAAGCATAATTAAAAGATTCATGTGTATATAGAAATAGCAATGTATGTGTATATTTATATATATATATTATATATATATATATATTATATATATATATATATATATATAAGAGAAAGAAGGAGAAGGAGAAAGGGGGATTCTTGTGAGAAAAAAGAGACGGAAGCACTGTGTATCTAAAACCTCTTTTTTCTAGGTGAAAATCCTCTGGCTGATGACCAGAGTAACCATGATATTAACTCAGTTGCTGGCGTTCTGAAGCTCTATTTCCGTGGGCTGGAAAATCCCCTCTTTCCTAAGGAAAGATTTAATGATCTGATTTCTTGTATCAGTAAGTACATTTTTTTCTTAGTTTTTCCACCAGAATTATTTCACTAACCAACTTCCTGGAAAAGGTAGCAGTCCTCCTCCACATACCCCTCCATTACCCCGCTGCCACCATATTTCTGAGGCCATTTGTTTTCTTTCTGGAACCAGTATGAGTCACCCTCCCAGCTGTGGCCTCACCCATAGCTGAGTGGGCTTTGCTGCAGGCTGAAGAACTTCAGGCTCCATAGAATCAGGAGTTGACCACTTAGTTGCCAGAGTGAAGCAGACAGGCAGGTGCCAGCTGCCTAAGAGAGAAGAGAAAGCTACAAACATGGAAGGGCGGAGTCTTTTTGGCTTTTGGTTTTGTATTGTTCTCAACCAGTTTTAAAAGTAGACCAAATTACTCATCTTTGAATGTTACTTCAAGAAAAAAGGTAAAATGGGATGACAGAGTACAGGAATACTAGGTAGCAATTAAGGGATCCCCCAATCATAGTCAGTGTTGCTCTGGAACTGTGTAGCATATATTACAAAACCAATAATCATCAGCAAAGTAAAGCATTGCTGCTTTTTTTAGCAGTGTCTTACAGCAGTACACAAAAAAACACTATATAAGAATGGATTATTAAGCACAATTAGTTTCTGCAACTCTAAAATTGCAGTGCCCCTCTTAAGTCCAAGTTCCCAGGTGAGAGTCCAGGATAACTTCAAGCACACAGGTTTTCATAAAAATCAGGGTTTACTCTTCATGGAGTAAACGCCACTGCCCCGCCCACCACCATCTGGGTTAACAGGTTCCTTGACTTGACTGTAAAGAAATCTCTCTTCTTATCCCTGCTTCATCCCCATTCCCTTCATCGGCTTCCCACTGGAGCTATCACAGTCTCTTAGGAAAACTCCTTAGTTCTAGATTTTGTCCACTCTCCGCAAATCGCAGTCTGCATCATTCCATATTCTCCACCACAACTAAATTCAAAAAGGAGGATGACAGTATTTTCTGTTTCCCCTATTAGAAACCTGTCTCAGTGTTTACCACACTTCTTGGTGTGGCTAGTTTATAAAATGGAATTCCTTCTGCATCTGATCTTTTCTTCCATCTGATCTCTACCTGCTGCTATGCAGGTATCTGGCCTCCCTACCCTATTTTTTGGTAATTTTTAAATATATGGAATAGTATAACAGAGTACACAAAGACCAGGTCCTTTCCTAACTCCATACCTTTGCCAGCTGTTTCCTCTATTACCTAATAGCCATGGACATGTGATATGAAGGCTTAGCCAACATGGCACTTCTCCCAGAACACCCATCCTCCCCACCACCCCGAGTGAATTAATCACTTTCTCCTCTACTGATATTCCATGATGTTCACATCTCTCTGATTCTTCTGATTACCCTACATTATAAGTTTTTGCCTCCTCTGTCTCCTTCCACTAGAGAGTGGGTTTAGGGAAGAGGTCAAGAACATGGGTTCTGGACCAAGACAGATCAAGTTCAAATCGTAGCTCCACCACTTACTTACCAGCTGTGTAACTACAGGCAAGTTTATTAAGCTCTCTGCACTTCAGTGTCCTCATTGATAAAACAAGCAGAACATTGCTTTCTTTTTTATATGGTTATGAGAACTAAATGAGTTAATATATGTACCGAGAAGAGTACCTGGTGTGGTTATGCTCGTAACATGCCCACATTTAGCTCCACAGTCCTGTGAGATCATGATGGCTTACTCAATTTGCTAGCCCTAACCCTTGCCACAGCAAATTCCAGATGCATAGTAAGTGCTCAGTACATAATTGTTAAATAGAATTGCAAGTGAAGTGAAAACTCGAGATTGTATCAAAATTTCTTTTGTTAGCATCTGCGCTTAAAGCCCTATCTTCAGTTGATGTCAATGCCACATTTAAAATTCTCTCCCCTTCATCGAATATGCTGTGTGGAACTTAGAAGTGTGCCTGTGTGTTCACTCCAAAGCTCTTGCATAGCCTGAGTCATCACAGCAGACCTCTGGCTTAGCTGGAAAGAACTGAAAAGGAGGTGTCACACTTCTGGAATTCTCCTTTGGCCATGTCCAAAGAATTCCTTCACATCCTAGCCAGATAAGTTAATTCTGGAAAAATAAGTACTCTATAACATGATTTTCTGGGTCTATGTCAGTTTTAATGTTTATATGCAGTATCAGTTGGACAAAGAATATTGGGCTACATTGTCAGTTCCACTAATAGAATCATTTATGGGTGAGAAACACTATTTTGTTATGGTTATTAATAACCAAGGCCATAGGGTCAGAAATATTTAGGTTCAAGTCCTAGCTTTACCAGCTGTGTAAATTTGCATAAAGATTAATACGTAATCTCATTAAAAGCAGCTATCTCTTCATTTACTTCATAGAGTCTGTGTGAAGAATAAGTGAGATAATCCACTTAATTGCTTAACATCCCGCCTAGCCCTGTAGTAAGCCTCAGTACATGCTGCTGACTGTCATTATTACGGCTATTATAGCTGTTCCCACTGCAAACTCAGGTCACATATGCCAATACCTGGTTTAAACACTTACCAATCTATCTATTCTGGCAAACACATGTTTCTTTGACATAATTCCACCAGCTGCATTTAGAAATGATGATATCGTAACCCGGAAATTGTATTTATTCCAGCATGAGTTTTCCCAATATATTAAATGTTTTGAAACAAAGGTATGTGTTCTCAAAGTTAAAATGAAGTTTAGCAAAATATGTAGGTCATAGAAGAAAACAAAAAATGTACAGAGGTATCTTCCATGGAAGTGGAGCCTGAGATACTGCAAGCACAAATAAAGAAGCTCAAAAAATATTTTTCCCCTTTATCAAAATACTAGAGTAATGCAATCAATGAATTAATAAATTTTCAGTTAACTTGGATGAAAACAGTCTGTATCACTGTTTACAGAACCTGTATCTTGAAAGAAGAAGCAAGAGCCCTGAAATTCAAGGCTGCAAAGATATATACGTCCCAGTTAACTATGGTAGTATTTTTCATAGTATTAAAATATTTTTTTTTTCTTTTTATCGGTACCAGGGATCGAACTCACGACTGCCTGCTTGCAAGGCAGGCGCTTATGCCGCTGAGCTAAATCCCCAGCCCCTGTATTAAAATATTTTTGTTAGTGCTGTAGTTCCAAAGTTTCATAGGTGCTGAGCCACTTGTATCAATCTTATTTTTCCCTGTTTATCCTGTTTTTAGTCTAAGTAGATTGACTTTTTGAGAACTCATTGGCATTAACAACTTCTTTGTTTAATACCTCCTTTATATAATAATCCCTTTCCTTCTAAACTCTAACCTCTTTAAAAAGACCGCAATCCTATTTCTGATTTATCTCAAGGCAAGCGTTTGCTTTTACCAACATGACCATGTGTATCCACATTTCTTCCTAGATTCTCAATACAGTATATCATTTATCATTGATATTACAATGATATCAAATCATTTTGATAATTCAATTAAGTTGATAGATTGTCTACAATATGCAAAAAATCTGAAGACTTAAGAACTTCATTCTTTCATTTAGGAGACTTGAAAACTAGCAGGAAAAAGAAGATATTCATGAATAAAGGCAGTCTAAATTCGTATATTATAGAAACATCAAGAATTAGAAATTTTAGGGGAAACAAATCTCAGAATGTTTTTATCCATGTCATCTTGTAGCATTGCCATAATTGCCCCAGTTAAGGAAATTTCGTGTGATGTTACTTTGTATAGGAAAAAAATCTTCCCTTTTTATCTTTTCTAGAAGGTCAGGTAAGTTCCTGTAGCGTCCACTGCCTTTTGCTTTCCTATTTTTGCATTATTGGGGGGAAAGAAGTGTGTGTGTGTGTGTGTGTGTGTACACGCGTGCACTAAGTTATCCTTTAGGGGGCCATGTTTAGGGGCCATGTTTGTGCCCCTAAATAACGGCATTCTTTGGAAATTTACAAAAAAATACTAAAGGGGACAAATGTAGGTTAGCATTCATTTTTAAAATGAACCATATCCATTCCCCCAATTCACTACAACTGGATGAAAACGTAAGTGTAATCAGCTATAAATTGGCAATGACAAATTTAGTAGTTTCTTATCCAAGAGTTGTTCTGTTTTTTTGCTCTTCATTGTTGCTGGTTTGTTTTTTTTTTTTTAAAACCATCTACTTTATGAATGGTTTTGTGAATGCTCCAGGTCATACCCACAAAGTTTGGGCAGCTTCCAACATGTTCGTGTATCCCAGCTCTGAGATTCCCCTAAGGCGTAAGTCCAAGTAATTACTCAAGTAATTCATGGTTTTTCCTGGCTTCCTCAGAGCCGTGAGCCGAGATGAAACATTTGCACTTCATTTTGCACAACACATTATTATTTAGGTGACTACTTAGGCATGAGAAAATATTTTTATAGGAGATTTTTTTTTCTGATCGCAAAACCAACCTTCAAGTTAGTGGAGGAGTTGAAAAATACACCAAAGCATGTAAGATAGAAAATTGCCCCTCCAGATGTTACTGCCTAAAGAGAACCAATGGTTTTGGCTACATTTGCTTCAAGGCTGTTTTTATATTCTTGTGCACATAACTTTTTTTGAAGCCAATGTGAAACTGTAGTATCCATACTGTTTGTAACATACCTTCTTTTTAACTTTTGTATTAAATAAAGTATCTGTAAAAGAAGAAAGAATAATATGATGGACTCCATATACTCAGTCACCCCTTTAACAATTTTCATTTCTTGGCTCCTTTTGCTCCACTTGTCCCTGTGCCAGCCCTTCAGCATCATCTGATTGATGTCCCTGGAAATGAAGGGTTTGGGGATTTTTTTTCCTCTATCATATTTCATATCACAAAACAATCTGTAGTCATGGTAAAATACTTGAAAAATATTCAAAAGCACATAGAACAAAATGCTATCACCCATCATACCACCACCCACAGAGAAACAATAGCATGTATATATTTTATATATATTACATTTTATGTTCATATACAATATAATATCATTATTATACCTTAAAATTTAAACATGTACTAA